GTGTGTGTGTGTGTGAGAGAGAGAGAGAGAGAAAGAGAGAGAGGGAGGGAGAGAGAGAGAGAAGGAGGGAAGGAGGGAGAGAGAGAGAGAGAGAGAGAGAGAGAGAGAGAGAGAGAGATTCCCAACTATCATAGTTGGTTGGACTTGTACAGAAAACAGGACAAACAAATTATTTTTGGCTATTTTAAGATTGTATCTTCAGTCATTAGGCAACTTTGGACAGCCAAGAAGATGACCTGCTAATAATGACATCATCATTGCTTTAATGGGTATGCTGAAAATCTAGGAAGACATTGATTTTAAAATGTCAGGGATTTACTAAGCAGTTTAAGACTTTAAAGAAAAAAACAATACAAATGAAATGTAATTATCTCATTTCACAAGTTATTGGTGTCTGCTTTAAAGTAAGGCCTTCAGTGAACTAAACTTAGGAAATAGTTTAAAATGCCATCTTCAACATAGCTAGAAAGAGAGGTACATGAGAGCATTAGGAATCTGCAGGACTTGATGAAAAGGTCTGAAGCATCGCTACAAGAATGATTGTGGTGGGAGACAGTGCAGAAGATAACACGGGCCTGGACCTGAGAGCAGAGGTCAGAGTAGTTCAGCATTTCTGAGCCCAGGGAAGCAACTCCAAGGTAAAATAGGCTGCCCTGGTAATGACAGGCTGGCAGGAGAAACATATCAGTCTCATAAGACTTAAATCTAGCACAAGTATTTGGCCTAACACTGTCTTCTACCACATGGCAGAGCAGTACTTGGAATGAACTCACTGTATCAATCGCTGTCATGGGGATGCCATGTGGAAAACATGTATGGATACAATTATATCATCCATATGTCAGATTATTGAAGAACAAGACATTCATAGGCGGCATCAACTTTCTTGCCTTTCATTTCCCAGGCACTTTTGCTTCTTCTGAGGTTGTGACTTTTGGCAAGTGTAAACTGGTTCCTTCTGATCCTATGACCAACATTGTCTCTCAGATCTCAGACTGCAATGAGCACACGATACACAGTGTCACCCACAAAGGCTTACAGTGGTGCAAGGGTTAAAACAGGGCTGTGGGAGGGAGAACAGAGCTGACACACATGCAGCAGAGAGAGCTGTTCTGGAGCAGGGAGGCCAATACATACTCAGTTGGTTCAAGGCACAAGGTCAGTTCAAGATAGAGAGAGGGTTCATGGGACAGATTGTTTCAAAGCACAGAGCTGACTCCAGGCAAAAAAGATCTGAGCAAATGGGAGCTCAAGTGACCCACTTCAATTTGAACTGATCATGTGAGCAGAAGTCCTGGGACAGAGTTGGGAGTTTGTTGCCTTGTGTCTGGTGATGCATACATTGGGTGGCCTGACGATGGCGCAGTGGGTGTGATCCAAGTGTGAGGGCACCGCAGCACTCATTGCTCTGGTGTATTGAACAAGCACAATAGGATGGTTTCTTAGGCAACTTTTTCAAACATTCATGGGTCTAAGTGTTGCTGGCCTGATATTTTTATAGATAGGAAAAAATTGTTTGTATTAATAAGTTATTTATCAGCATAGGCTTGACTGCCTGCACTGACACTTGGACACATAAGGTACAGAGTTATTTTTTCTCAGAATTTACTTCCAAAATGAAGAAAATTACTGCTGTATAAATGGAGTCACTCAGGGCAAGGCACACTCTGAAAACTCCTGTCCCATATAATACAAAGAAACACAGATGGGCACAGCCCGTGCTCTACACACTCCTTTCTCACAGTGCCAGAACCAGGAGATTCTATTCTCTGAGTCTGAGATCTGGTGGGGAACCAAAATCATCAAGCACAAGCCATGGTGCCCTGGGATGCACTGGTTGGTAGGCATTCATAGGTCACAGTAATGGAGGTGTGAGTGACTGGCAATCACGATAGTAGCTCAGGCTGTGGAGGCACGAGGACAGACAGCCCTGCCTCCCTATGGATGACTGCTGAGCCTCAGAGTTCTGAGCAGGTGCCTGGCAGAGACTTTGGTTTCTGAAACCGACTCGTGGTGCAATTTGTGTGCAGCAGACAGGGGCTGAGAACTTTGAACCTGAGTAAAAGGATTACTGAATTTCCACAGCCTCTTCTTTATTGTATGTGGTTTATTGCTGGATAGGATCTGAAAATGCTTAGGCAAACAGCTTTGATCCCAGGGCCTTTCTCCATTGTGGAGCTCCATGCTCTGTTTGCCATCCCCACTTCTCGCAAAGCATCTGGCAGACGTGACTTTGTTTAGAAAAACCTACAAACAGAAGTCCTACCTGGACCACAGGCCACAAAGACATCT